TTATCTCACTTGAGCTGTGGAAGTCCACGTCGTTTTCATTGCACACACATGAAAATCGGCCCGCATTGCCAACTATGCGGCGCGCGTTAATTTTGGGTGCCGTTTCATGGCCAATATTTGCTGGGACAGTCCGATGAAGTCAAGCACCAAACACTCGGCTTTTTGCCGATGGGTGCTAAAGCTAGCTGAAGTCTTGGGTGTTACAGAGTGCTGTCAAAATATCTTACGGGTGCTCAACCACCGATACAATACTTTTTTACACTCATACTTGTCATCACTGGCATATCTAAAAAACACAGATCTGTGTTACGGGAAGTCACCCAATCACTGCACAAAGTATCAAGTTCAACAGAATAGTGGCTGTGCCAACCTGCCTGATGGCAGAGGTCCTTCAAGAACCATCAATGACCCCGCCATCTGAAAGTCGAAGAGCACCTCCTCCGCAGCTGCTTATAGGTGCTAATTCACTTGATGCTGACACTCCGACTGGCCTATGATGGCTTCCACCCGCCATCAGTCGGGCTGGCACAGCCACTATTCTGTTGAACTTTATACCTTGCGCAGTGATTGTCTGCAACTTTGAAAAAAAAAACCGTGTGTTTTTTGGAAAAAGTTTCTATCCTTTTTTTTGGTGTCCCAAAAATATTTGTATCTTGGACTTTCATGGGCCATGTTTTGCTCAAAATGCGTGTTTGTACCCCATTTTATTAAAGGTCCAGGTTGACCGCCATAGCTTCCATATCCACCGAACTTGCAACATTCTTGCAACAGTGGGACTGTCGGCCGATCTCGGCTGTCCTCTGCAAACTACGAAGACGGAGTACGAAACACCAAAGCATGATCGTCAAACAACGTTCACAGAGCACGTAATATTCGGTGAAAAAAGCTTTTATAAATTTCCTCCGGAAGTTTATCAAAATCAAAATCCGTGAAGCTACGGCAAGATGAGCCTCACCGTAATCAGATAGAAGACTGTTGGTTGATTCCAGAATTGACGGTTCATGCTCGCGGTTGTTGTGCTCTACTGTGTTAGTGAGATTAAGTATGATGGAGAACACACTAGGTATCATGGAGCGGGTCTTTTGAATGCAGACTCGACAGCGCGCGCTGGACCAACACCCGTGTGGTCTGTGCCAATGTTCAAGAACCCAGAACCAGCCACCATGATAGGTATGGTAGCACGAGACTCAAGGACACTGGAGGGCAGGACAGGATCCTTTGGGTGAAGGGAATCTGGGATACTGCCAGTGAGGTCCAGAATAGGTTGCAATTCATAGAAGTGTCTGACATCCGAGGGAGGTGAGTTGACGAAGTAGATGAAGAGACTGCAAAAAGGAGAAAGAGAGGTGGAGGAAACCGAAACAGGAGGATGCAGTCGGACATGGGTAATTAATTTACTTGTTTAATTTTCTACAAAAATTTAACCCAGAAGCGCTGAAACACTCTGCCAGAAAACTTTGATTAGATATTTATTTATTTAATTTATGATTTCAATGGATGATCGATGCTGATCGGCGGTTTTACATTTCGTGTTTGAGACCTGGTTCCTAAGTCGGTACCAGGAATATGTCATAATCTTGCTTTCCGAAAATAAAATACATATATTGGGACAGAGAGACATGAAGCTCGAGATCCTTCCATGTTTGGTGGGTATTCAATTGGGCGAAGCAGTGAGAAAGAGAAAAAAATGCACCTAGCGAGACTAAATGCTACTGGTAGGAGTCGAACCCACGCCGACCCCACAAACTATGTATCCAACCCAAGATGAGAGGACACTACACTGAGCCACATACCACAAAGTTGTACTCCTTATACCACACACTTCGTAGAGCACTTTTTAGAACATTGGGATCGGTGTTCCGGTCAGCCGTCGGGTTCAGACATCGGGACGTGGAACAACTATAAAACTTGAGAGGAAAAACTTCGATAATTCAGTACGAAAACAATGAACCGGTCAAAATGTAAAAAGACCCAAAATGGAGCTGAATGCTACTGGTGGGATTCGAACTCACACCTTCCTCACAAAATGAGAATGACCTCAGTCTACCAGAGGAGGACACTCTGCCTTGAGCATTAAATACACTGGGGCTCTATGTACCACCCACACTTTCGGAGTTCCTTCCGAAGTTGCAATATGTTACAATCTTCCCTCCCGGAAATAAAATCCATACATCGCACAGAGAGCCCGAGGTCCATTTGTATTGAGGCAAAGAAGAAGAAGAGTGTGACCATGCCGCTGGTGGGAGTCAACCCACACCTTCCTCACAAATTGTTGATGTGCATACATGTAAATGAAGGTTTTGTGTGAATAGTAGTATACTAATCGGAATATGAGGTGTGGTCCGCCGTGGAAAACGACGAGCGCGGTGCATCCTCCTTGAGCTTCACTGGCTGGTACAAAGGATTCAACGCTCGTGTCGGGAGTTTTGTCTGGCCCCTCCGCACCAAGTTCACAATACCAAAAAAAGCCACAAAAAGAAGGATGAGCAGGTTTGCAGCGAGGAGCCCAACGATGATGGGACCGTATTTGTCGACGGTGGACCCAGTGCTCGGCGAGCTGCTGTCCGCGAGGTTCGCCATTGCTTTGTTAGAGCCGGCGAGAGCGTCTAAGCCGGAGGCTGTAGGTGTCAATGAATTGGAGGTGGATGCGGAGGACGAAGACGATGGGCCGTCGAAGAGGTTGATGATATCCTGCGGAGCGAGCTCAGGGGGACTGTTTTCCAACAGCTCTGCCCGAACAGTGGCAAAGTCGGCAGCGGCCTGGTCGGTGGCAGTATCTGCCAGTAGTTGAACATGTGGTGATGTTGTCTCGTTTCCAAATGAGAAGCTGCCGGAGGAATGAGTGTGAAAAGGACTTCAAATAGATAAGCATACACCGAATACACATTCCGCAGGAAGGAGTCGCCATAGAGAGCATCACGGTTCGGACCCAGAATGATGCCGCCGTTTGTGACAGAACCAATGCATACCGTATAGTTTTTGCCGTCGGGACCAACAAGGAAGCTGAGGTCCGTTACGTCCAAGGGATGGATTGGGAAGTCTTGACCCCTGTTCAAGTTGTTCAATCGTTAGTCTAATATGGTAGGACAGGAAACTGGGCTTGCCCAAATCTCGTTGTCATGTTCACGGGTGTATTGCAAGGAACAACCCACACATCCTCGTCTTCGCTGAACTTTAGATTGGCTGACAGAAAGTTAGCGGGAAGTACTGAAAGGAAAGAATGTATTCACGAATGGATGAGTTTTTGGCAAGGACCGCGCCCGGAACGGTCGAATAGATGGCATCTCGCACCTGATTGTGTAAATCAGGCAATAGAACGTAAGTTATGGGCAAGAACGAACCACTGCTGGAACAAGGATGTTGGTTGTCCCGGTGTCCAAGAGGACTACGGCCTTCCCATCTGGCACATCTTTGCTAAATGAAGTCCACGGAATAGGAATATCCCCAACAACAGAGATCCCGTCAGTCAAGATGCCCCACGCCCCGCTGTTGACAGGGAACTGCGGTAACAATGGGGCAAATTGAACCGAAGCATACTTGTCGTCGAACCCACTGATGACCAACGACGCGTCGGCAGTGTCTTCGACGTCCCCAACGCGCGACAAGGAGAGCGAGAAAAATCGACCCTTGGTGACATCCTGGTCGTAGATGCTCGTCAGAACCGATTTACCGATCTCGGTGCCGTTGAATCCTGCATTCGTCAATGCAGAGGGAATGGTGCCATTGGGACCGTCGAAGCCAAGCCCAACGAGGCCGAATATGCCCAAATCCTGATCGCTCTCCTCGCCAGCGCTCTGTGACAACTTGAGTCAGCATCGAAACCACATAAGTTGATAGAGGCGGGCATTGAATTCACATTCGTGACATTGATGAAAGCTATGAGAGGTTTTTTTGGCTTAGTCTGATGTTCTGTTTTGAAAAGAATGAATAAGAATATGCTGAACCTTGATTTTGAATGGAAACCCCAGCGATTTCGACGAGTCCAAGACCGACAGAGCCGTTCACAAAGTTACTTCCATCGCCGTAGAATTGGATCGCGGAGACACCAGTATCGTTGAACGACCCGGAGATCCCACCGACCGGTGCCACCCTGTACCCGAAATTATATATTTCAGCATTACAGACTCGGAGAGTCCAGGTGCGTACCACATGTCCGTACTACCGGTGTCAAGCATCACAGTAACCGCTGAATACGACTTTCAAGGCGAATCCCACGTGTCATTGGTCAGACTTACATGATCCCGCAACAGTGAGGTTCACGGTGTACTGTTCGTTGGACGTCAGGGATGGATGGGACACGAAAAGGGTGCGCGACTCACGAGGGTATTATAGTTGTTTTTTATATTTTTGTCAGCATCCATGGTGTATTGCGGGCGACGGCCCCGTTTGGCAGAAACCGGCCACAGTTCAAGGTGAAGAAAAATAAGAGAAAGAAGGGTAGCTGGAAAACGTAGCATGTTTAGAAGGCGAATCCGAAGTGAATGATTTCTCACTCTTCTTCTTGCTTATTATATATGTTGGTTATCCCTCACAACCGGCGACTTGGGAACGGCGATTCAGAACCTGTGCCTTCGGTGTTGCGAGTCACAGCCAATTCTTGTTCCGCTGCCAGCCTACAGGCTGCCAGTTGGTAATGCAGTGGTTGGACAGAAGCAGAGCCTACGTCCTCCAAAATAGCTTGTGAACAACAATAAATTAATATCTTCTTCATGGTTTATTCCCGCCTATGCACTGTAAAACGGAGCACACCCTCGGATGCTTCCTTAGCTCAAGATGCTAACGCTGATGCGTTGATCCGTGCGCTGCAGTTTATTCTGGTGGGGTCGGTGTCTCACACCTTCCTGTAACTTCGAGGAGGTGCAGCGCAGTACACCCTCAATTGATGTGAGGACAGAGAAATGAATACATGTATTTGATAGAGAAACATCCATTCACTCACTTGATTGGTACTCAACTGGGCAACGAGGGGGGGGGGGAAAGCACACTCGAGTGGTGTAGTAGGCTGCTGGTGGGATTCGAACCCACGCCTTCCTCACAAAGCTTCTGCGGCGAGATCGAACAGGAGACGATGCTCTACGCTGAGCTACAGCAGCGTGTAGACCATTGGATTACCCTCCTCATACCACACTCCATGACAACCCTATTCGTTCTATGAAATAATGAATAGACACGTTACAGACCTTAGAGATTGGATGTCAGGAAACATAGGCCATCGCTGAAAGCAAACTTCATCGGTGTATTTGGGATCCAACAGTTAGATTATTGCTTAGACTTAAGGGTACAGGAACCTGACTTGGGAGTACCGGCCCGCTGGTCCGGAAACATTTCTCTAACCTCCACTACACAATTGTGATCTGACGCGTCTGCGGCATACCATGTCTTCCGGGACCATATCTGAGTTTTATTGCGTCTCAAAACCTGGTTTAACTGCGGAATGCCGCGATCGAGGGAAATACCGATGCATGGACATTCGTTGGACATTCGCAGGGGCCAAGCATGACGACCATTCTCTTTAGGGGGTTAGAATTTGCAGTCTGATGTCTGCGCTCCCTATGCGAGACCAACCCAACCCGATGCGCAGCCACAAATACCTGCGACGCCACGCAGGCTCATGACGCGGAACAGCGCAACACAACAGTTTTGGTTTCACTGCGGGTCTGGACGCCAGATCTCGCGCGATACGCCCACATCTTGCTTCAGCCGGTAATTAGATGTGTAATTCTGCCTGGAGAAGCCCTCATTCCTTCGTTGGGTGTCTCGATCGATATATCTGCGCGCCATAACATGGAGATCTTATGACAAGTCAACAGAATGAACACTCTCTTTTCTCCCACTCACTGCCGTCGCTTTATGTGCCTTGCAGTCACTGCATTCAGACCCCCCCATAGGCACAGATGTGCCCACCTTCACCGATCCCCGCCTACAGACTGCCCACCCAAGCCGACGTTGGTCTACCCTAATAGGCGTCGGCCGACGTTGGTCTAGCATCCCTACTGAGGCAAAGCCTGCCCACCTTGGTAGATCTTCGCTGACAGTGGTGTGTCTATCTTGGCCAACCTTGGTCAACCTTGGCTGACCTGGGTCTAGGTTGGTGTTGGTTGGAATGGCTGGACGGGTACAAACCATGTCAGATTTTGAATTTGGCTAACTAGGCTTAGCTAGGCTCATCGGTCCATGTGAGTCTATGTGTGCCTAATCCAGTGGGAATACCTAGACCAACCTCGGCAGGGATGGGCAGATGGATGGGCAAGGGTTGGCACACTGGTCTGCCTACACATCTGCCTATCAGGATCTGGCAGACCTGTGCCTACAGGGGGGTCTGAACGCAGTGAGTAAAGCTTTCCGTGAAGCCGCTCGCCAAATTCCCTACTCTGACTTTCAAGCTCCGGTCGAATTATTCATACCTCGAACGCCGCTGATGGCCAAACTCAACATTATATTTTATTTCGGTGTATCGTAGCGCGCCTTGTCCAAAACATGTGAGCACCATGGAACAGGGACTTTCGAAGCGGCCCGCGCTCTTGGTGATCATGGGACTCCCACAGTGTCTTCGACATCTTCTGCTACGAAACCCGGGAGTTTGGTTGATGCCTCGAGTCGACCCGACTCTCTCCAGGCACAGCGCTCGTTGTGGCCTTGTTGCTGCTTTGGCTTACCCAGCTTTGGGATGAGGAGTCCGATTGACGCGCGCGATAATTGCATTCTCCGCTGACGAACTACATGGGTCCAATGCGGCAAAGATTCAAGCCATCTCCACGTCACCCATTTTGAGATCTGTCGAGTAAGATCTGATAACACGCTCACGGCGACCGAGATAAATACCCCACACTACTTTCCCCTCACGCAATCTGCGCTTTCCTCAGGTTACCATGTCCGCCTCCTACAAAAAGGACCGAGTCGCTGGCATCGGAATCTACAAGGCACCCCCAAATCTTTCAAAGGAAGCCTTCGAGACCAAGATCACTTCGCTCGTAGATGCACTGCTCGCCGTGCCCATCGCGCAGAAGAACTTTCTCAAATTTGAGATCGTGTGTCTTAACTGTCTCCACCGTTATATAGTATTCATATACATGACACAGATATACCAGAACGAGTTTTCGAGTCCGTATCTGAAAGCCCTAGGATTCGCAGAAGCACCGGCCAGTGTTTGGTTAAGACTGGAGTGCGAGGTAAGTCGACGACAAGTGCAGATTGCGTCGTTGTTCATGATACGTACAGAGCGACGCCCATGGCGCAGAGGTTCGCCGGGCAATTTTTATTGTAGTGGATCGCTGATGAAATCCTACAGATTTTGAAGGATCCCGCCCTCGCGAAAGTCTACACGGAAGCAGAAGAATTCTTACCCTACGTAACGGCATTTATGACGGACGTTGTGACAAAGATCGACCTACCCACTCCGGGGAACCGAATGCACATTATGTGCACATTCCAGCGTCCGGACTATCTTTCCTCGAACGAATACCGCACGAAATTCGAAGGTTTCGTGGACAGATTGCTTGCACTCCCGATCACCCAGAAGAACATTCTGAAATATTCAGTGGTGTGTGGCTATCATGATGGGCAGTAGTGAACTCCTAAGATCGACCAATCCCAGTGGGAGCCAAATAACACCCTGGACGCTCCTCTGCGAGATCTGGGGTTCCCTCAGCCAGAGCCTGTACTTGTAGTCATGGCAGAAATGGAGGTAGGTTCAGCTTTCCGCATCGCTTTTTTACGAAGGACTGATTTGTTTTATCCAGAATCAGGACCGTATGATCGAGGTTATGCCCATTATTCGGAGACGATTAAGTTCTGACAATCATCTTCAGTGGCTGACACACCCTGACTTGAAAGACTACGTGGTAGATGCCCGCCATGCCTTGGGCGTTCACATTGGTAGCTCCATCTTTTCCGCGGATGTCGTTACCAAGATCAACAAGTAGTCAAGTAGTCGTGAAAGCCCCACAAATGTATCGCAATCTTCGTCATGTTACTTCTCAGCGTACCACCAAACAATACCATGCAGTTTATCGAGGAATTACCATGAAGTCAGGTTTCAAGTTTGGATCGCAAGACGAAGTTCAAAGTGAAGTTCGAAAGATCGACTCTTGGTTTAAGGACTTTTGTGAATTTTTGGTAGAATTAGTGGAAACACGAACTTAGTGTTGCAGATTTAAGATGTTTGGCGGCGACCGAACGTGCTTAAATGCAAGGTAACTGTGATGGCAGCAGTTACGATGAGCCGATAAGATCATGTACCTGAGATGCGCCGATCCGTCCTTGCGGTGCATCTGATGCGCCAGGTGTGAGAAATTCACACCCTCTGCCCAGCGGCCGCAGCATCGCCAAAATCGTTTTGACGGGCTGTTGTGTCGACGGCCGTTGTTTTGCGGCCGTAGTCGTTGACGGGACGATCATTTCCCGAGTTCGTGACTTCGAAGGTGCAGTGCAGTACAGTGAGCATAGAGAAATGAAATACAACATCCATTCACACCCAATTGACTGGTACTCAACTGGGCAATGAAGAAGAAAAAAACATTCGAGAGGACACACGCCGCTGGTGGGATTCGAACCCACGCCTTCCTCGAAAACCGGTTATTAGGAGACGATGAGATTGAGAGGATGCACTACACTGAGCCACAGCAGATTCCAGACTATTGGATTACGCTCCTTATACCACACTTTATGGCAACCCTTTTCGTTCTATGAAATAATGAAATAATGAATGGACGTTACATCGGATCGTGTATTTGACTTCGAGATTGGATGCCGAGAAACATCAGCCATCGTTGAAAGCAAACTTCATCGGTGTATTTGGAATCCAAAAAAAAACCGCACCGACTCGATATACTACTGGTGGGATCTGAACCCACACCTTCCTCAGAAACGGTTGAGATTGAGAGGTTGAATCAGAGAGGATGCTTTATACTGAGCCACAGCAGCTTGCCTCCCAACAAGCTCGGGTCTTCATCTCTCGCTCAGTAAGAGGTCTGCACTGTGAGGTGAGAAGTACAGATGGAAGGAAACTAAAATATTCGAACATTGCTAGCCTCACCTTCCTCACACGGTGTAAAGATCAAAGTCGTAGGATATGAAGCGAGGCTGGTGACGTCATCGCTTCTCTCTTGCTCTTACCCGCCATCTCGCCCACCGCCCCGCCGCGACTCGACGCTTCCCGCAGCCCCGTCTGGCTCCTCGACCACTCCTCTTCGTTTAAGGCGCTACTCCGCCGTTTTCAACCCGCACGAGGTACGCTACATGTACATACTGTAGCTTGTCCTTCGAGCTCCTTCGAGTGCGTCCCGTTAGAACCACTCTCAATGTGCTCTACCCACTATCCATATATTTCGAGTCTTTCTTCCGAATCGTCGCCCGCCTGTGCACGCCCAGCCTCTGTCGCTATCGACATTGAATATTGAGTAGCTACCCGTACTGCCAAAGGTGGCCGCGCGGCGGGGGCGCCATGGAGTGCTTTGGAGCTGTGGAGCGGTGGAACTCGAGCTACAGCGGATCAACTTGGTCTCCTCAGCTCTGTCGGCTTATAAATCTCCTCCTCTTCAATCTTAATCATCACCAGCTTATTCATCTATCTTATTCATCCAAAAACTGGTGGGTATATTTGAGTTCAATTTCGCCTCTAGATCTCCAAAAACTCTCTTTCTTTTTATCGCAGCCATGTCTCTCCCAACCTTTTCTTTCTCCACCACCGCAGACGAAGTCGCCACCGTCTTCGCTGATGAAATCCGCGGCAAAAATGGTCAGTCGTGCAGATATCCATCGCTATGCACTGTATTGCTAATAGCTACTATTAGTCCTGGTCACCGGCACGTCCCCCAACGGAATCGGCTTCGAAACGGCCCGTGTAATCGCGAAACATGCTAATCTGGTCATTATAACCGGATACAACTTAGAACGGTACATATATTTGACACCCAGTCCCCGTAATAATCAATGCTGAATCCGCTGTGTGTACTAGACTGAAACTCTCGGAGGACGCGATCAAGCGCGATGTGCCCAGCGCAAACATCCGTCCCCTCGTGCTGGATCTTTCCTCGCTGGCGGCCGTGCGCAAGGCCGCCGCTGAAATCAACGCGTACCCGGAGGTCCTGCACGTGCGTACATCTTCCCGCTCGTTTCTCTCTCTTGACTGCACATTAATATATATCAACCGAAAATGTAGGTCCTAATCCACAACGCCAGCGCGCCATTCGGACCCTTCAAACTCACCGTCGACAAGCTCGAGAACCAGATGGCCACAGACCACATCGGGCCCTTCCTCCTCACGAAGCTCATCGCGCCGAAGCTCCTCGCAGCGGGCGCAGCGACACCGAGCTACGTCCCCCGTGTCGTGTTCGTTTCGAGCAACTCGCACGCGTTCAACGACGGTATCAACTTCGCCACGTTCGCACACCCCGAGGCGGCGTCGTACCAGTCCTTTGACGCGTACTTTCAGGCGAAGAGCGCTAATGTTCTGATGGCGAGGGAGTTGTCGAGGCGTTCAGGGGGGAGGATTAGGGCGTATAGTTTGCATCCAGGAAGTGCGTCGCGTTCACTTTCCTCATTTTACGCCCGGTTGTAACTTTGCTTCTGCAAATTATTGTAGCGACGTACACGAATATCCACCAGAAGGAGGATACGATCAGGGAGTTGCAGGCGGCTGGTACGTTCCCCAGTCTTACCGTATGCTACAACTGAATCTCGTTTGTACCTGTTTTCAGGCATCCTAGGCGCAGACGGTCAACCTAGCACCGAGAAAATGAAATGGAAGACGATCCCGCAGGGGGCGGCGACGTGAGTTCGTTTATTCAGTCATTTCATTCATTCAAAAATCCGCGGTCGCGCCATACTCGAACTTATTCGAACTTACTTGACCATGTAGCACCGCGGCCGCAGCCTTCGATACCCGGCTTAACGGTTCGTCTCGCCCTCCCATCATCAAATTGTTATCTGACCACTCTATGCTTGCAGATATACCCGGGGCCTACCTCTCCGACTCCACCGAGGCCAACAACGAAGTCGCTGCGCACAGCTCCGATCCTGTGAGTCCTTCCTCCCACTTCCTTCCTTCCTCAGTAATCCGTCATCGCGGTGCTCAAAACAACTTAACGCTAACGCTAATGGTGTGCCGTGTAGGTCAATGCCGAGAGATTGTGGACGGTCACGGAGGAGATTATTGGGGAGAAGTTTGTGTTTTGAGTCAGTGATGGGACAAGTTGTAATCATTCCAGAAGTGTACATAAATCCAGAGAAACGATTTCTTTTAGACCGATTTCCAGCCCAGCTCGAACCGTTGTAACGCTTGGCAATAGGTTGCGTGTTTAAACTGGAACGAAGCCCAGTTTGTCAGTCTTTGACTCCTCTTGAAATTGGTAACGTGCTCCTATTCCGGAACATATTTTCGTCGCGGCATTGACTCAGAACCGCTTTCGCCTCGAGCGCGGAGTGAGATAAATCCGTTCGTTTTTAATTTGTAATTTTCGAGAGTCAGCAGTGCGGGAGGGTATGGATCCTGCAACGATTTATCCCTATGGGTGCTCCCGAATCCGGAGATTAGCGGTTTCCGACCCGCATCCAAATCAAGTCGTCCGAGTACGAGAGTCGATCGCGATATGCCGGCTAGAGCTACAGATGCCATATGTTAGAATCAGCAATGCAATAATTTTGGAAGCAGGAAGCATATGCACGTACAGTCATGAATTATTTTATAAACACCTCACGATCCCACAACGCCCGGAGCCCAGCAGCAGCCGGGGTGCTCTTGCTATCGATGTCGTACGCCCACGGCTCAGGGTCACTATCATAGTGGATGACATCCAGAAACTCCCTTTCCATCGGCCGCAAGATGCGATTGGGAACAGCGCATGAAAGCCGGTGGATAATTTTCATGACGCGCAGGTGGATGACGCGACGGCCGGCATAGCGTGCTAGGCGCGACACCTCGAAGCGGACAATTGCCGATCCTGATCATGGAAAGTACGGATGAGACGCTAGGTTAGGAAGGGGAAGGATACCGCTGGCCGACGTACCAGTCCATGGAGCCGTTCGTTCTCGCTCCTCGCCGACTCGTCCATAAAAAATCCGATCGAATTCCAGCTCGTGCAGCGTCCCGCCAGCGACGAGCGTGAGATAGATCCCGCTGTCAAAACTGACCGGGAATTCCTGACCGAGTCGAAAGATGATGCGGTAAGCGCCCGTGCGGTGATTCTTGCCAAAGAGCCTGCGACATCCTGCGAGCTGCTCCTCCGTTACGAGATTCTCGTGCAGAAGCTGATCACGGAATCTAATATGCTGCGCATGGCACGCTATATGGGGGAGAATAATTTGCCAGGGAGATCCCGAGGGTAAGAGCAGGTCTTGGCCGTACGAGAATGTCGATGGCAGTTTACTCCACGCAACACGCAGGCGGATGCTGCCTTCCAGCGGCGCTGCACGCGGATCTCTGTGATAGTACAGAAAGCCAGCAGTCTGACTGGGGAATGGAATCTTCTTCCTCCTGGGATCTGCCGAAGAATAATCATAATAAATCATGGCGACTGTGCCCAGCCGTGACTCAGGAAAGTGTGGGCTGAACGACACCCGGTGCGATAAATCCAGGTAGTCGCTGGATTGGATGAGAGCCGGATTCAAGGTAGAAATTGTGTTTCGTCGACGACCAGGTTTAGTAAACGTCTTTTGCAGCGAGCCTCTGGAATGCCGCTACTGGTAAGTTGAAAGCGGCCAAGTGCAGGCTGAAGCGAGAACGACACACTGTGGGCCCCCCTTCAATTGGCCCTGAAGAGAGGAGTAACGAGTGAAGATGCGGAATTGAATCCGCGGTGTCTGACGACATAGAACCGCTCGCGACGTGGATGTAAACGACGCCATGATGTACCGAAAAAGGAAGCACGTGATGTTACGTCAAGCTTGGCAAATCGTGACACTCCAAAGACGCGCACACAGTGTCAATCATCTAGTCCTCCTGCCACCAGCAGCTTGCAAGCCATGCACCAATCTTCTCAAGAACTCAAGCCTGATGGTCGCTGGTTCCAGTGTTTTGATGTGACGAGAGTTTGCATCACAGTCGAGCCGCGACCTCCTGCCGAATGATGCTGGGCCCAGAAACTCCCCGTTCTTTACGAGTGAAACAGGCGCGTTCTTGCCTTTGTCGTGCTCATTGACGCTGTAATCATCGCCTTTACCTGATCGCAGGATCTGGGCTGCCGGAAACTGATTTTCCCAGCGCGGGGATCAGTCAGAGTAGCTTGGTTTCAACCGTGTAGGGATGCTCACCGTCCCGTCAACGGTAGCGGCCGTAAATCTTTTGTGAAGAGACGGCTACGGCCCCCCCAAAAAAAGGCCGTCTTCAATCTCTTCATCAAATTTTGAAACTTCCATTGGACAACGGAAACACCTACCTAAAATTAGAAATGTAAGTGGTACATCACTGTGACACCACCACTTACCATGAATCACAGGTCAGTATAACATTTTGGCCTCAAACAAAATAAGATGACTCAAGGAGTGAGGTACGAGGTATTCAGTGAATACCCATTATCTATTTGCGCTCCCTAAGTTCAATTTTTAGCTGACAATCTTCTCAGACCCGTGTACAGTCGTCAAATGCCGCCTTCAGACGGGTATGGACGGCAATTTTCCCGCCCGTAACCG